ATTTATCTATTAGTCAATCTAAATATCCCCCTTTTTCTTCCTGACACCACCCAATTTTCAATCTACATAGTTACCAAGTCCTTTCAATTCTTTAAGTTCCTTCCTCTCTCTCTGATCTGATTAAAAATCCTCATTATTAAACACTGAACATACCTTCTAAAAGGGTTATTTAAAATCATTCAAAGGAAATAATAGGAATAAAATTAAAATGAAGGAAACAGACACAGAAACCAATGAAACAGAATTAAGAGCCAGAAATAAGCCCACATGTATACAGGCAAGAAATTTTTGACAAAGGAGCCAAAAACATACAAAGGAGAAAAGAAAAAAAAAAAAAAAAAAGCCTCTTCAATAAATGGCACAGTACTGGTAAAATTGGAAAGCCACATGCAAAAGGATGAAACTAGGCTGCTATTTGTCACCGTATACAAAAATTAACCCAAAATGGATTAAAGACCTAAATATAAGACCTGAAACAGTAAAGTGCATAGAAGAAAACATAGGTAGTAAACTTAGGGACCTTGGACTTAGAGAAAATTTTATAAATTTCACCTCAAAGACTAAAGCAGTAAAAATAAATGAATGCAGCTGTATCAAACTAAAAAGCTTCTGCACAGCAAAAGAAACCATCAACAAAACTAAAAGGCAATCAAACAAATGGGAGAAGATACTTGCAAACATCACCTCTGATAAGAGGTTAATATCCAAAATATATAAAGAATTCATACAACTCAACAACAAAACAAACAATCCAATTAAAAATGGGTAGAGGACATGAACAGACACTTTTCTCAAGAAGATGTACAGATGGTCAATAGATATATGAAAAGGTGCTCAACTTCACTAGCTATTAGGAAAATGCAAATCAAAACTACAATGAGATACCCCCTCACCCCCGTAAGAATGGCTGTTATCAGCAAGACAAGTAATAACAAGTGATGGAGAGATTGTAGAGAAAAAGGAGCCCCCATTCACTGCTGGTGGGAATTTAAACTGGTATAGCCACTATGGAAAATAGTCTGGAGCCTCCTCAAAAAATCAAGAATAGAGTTACCATAATCCAAATAACCCCTCTTCTGGGTATCTACCCCCCAAACTTGAAAACATTTATTCATAATGATATATGCACCTCTATGTTCATTGCAGCACTATTCACAGTGGCCAAGACATGGAAACAACCAAAGTGTCCTCCAATAGAGGATGGGATAAAGAAGATTTGGTACATATATACAATGGAATACTACACAGCCATAAGAAAAGGTGAAATACTGCCATTTACGACAATATGGGTGGAGCTTGAGAATATCACGCTAACTGAAATAAGTCAGGCAGAAAAAGTCAAGAACCGTATGCTTTCACTCATATGTGGGATATACAACTGAAAGCAACAAATGAGCAAACAAGCAAATAAAAACTCACAGACAACAATATGGTGGTTACCAGAGGGAAGGGTAGGTGGGGAGGAGGGAATAAAGGAATAAAGGGGGTCAACTACATGGTGATGAAATGAGATTTGACTTTGGGTGGTGAACACACAATGCAATATACAGATGATGTATTACAGAATTGTACACTTGAAACCTATATAATATTACTAACCAATGTCATCCCAATAAATTTAATAAAAAATGAATAAACCACATTAAAAAATATTTCTTCATCAATAAAAGTCTAAAACTCTCAATGGTATCTTTATTTTATTTTAATTTTTCCAATTTTAATTTTCTCACTGGATTTACATGATTTCATCAGTTCTGGAAAATGTATCTACAACCAATTTTGCAAACTGTATTTCCCTTTGTAACTTCAGGACTTTCCACATCATATGACAAAGTGGCAACACCATGATTCCCTTAAGCCCTTAAACCAGAGCAAGATGAAGTCTTCAGTTGAATACACTGCAGTGTAAGAAGCAGAAATCAGTTGTCTAAGTCTCAGTGATGGGAAAAGCATCTCCAAACATAGTGAAATTAGTCTAAAAGTTCCTGCTGTTTTTTTTTTAAAAAGAAGTGGGAAAATTTCCCTGCTGGACACAGATAAGGAATGCAACTGACAGTCATGTCTGATTCTGATTTCTATGGATTAAATCCTTTAAGGAAGGTATCTCCCACCTGACTAAATAGCTTCCAGGAGACAGTTATAAATTAAGCTATAGCCAAAAGTGGGCAACTAAGCAAGAATAGAGAGCAACTTAGAACACTAACACACATTTCTGAAGGATGTTAGAAAATGAGCCCTCAAAGTTTTTTGGGCAGATCAGTGAACAAATAAGAAATGCAAATAAGAAACCTAAAGAGTCAGTATGACACAATTTATTCTGTCTTAATTGACTTATGAATCCTCAAATCACTTTCTGGGCCTTCCCTAAATTGACTTGTTTAAAGTATGTGTCAGGAAAGATGGTGAGTGAACTCCCCAGAGAAAGTCTGGAGGTTTATTACACATGGCAGCTGTTCTCAGATTTTAGCATACAGTACTTGAGAATCACTTGGAAGGCTCATTACAACACAGATGTCTAGGTCTCACCCCCAGCACATCTGACTTAGTTGGTCTGGAGTGAAGTTCAAGTTTACTTTTCTAACAAGTTCCCAGAGGATGCTAATGCTGCTAGATGGTGGAGGGACCACACTTCAAGACCCTATACATTGGGTTGTCTAAATTTTCTCAACCTAATTCCTATTTGTTGTTCTAGATATATGTCACCTAAGTCTACATTTGTGTGGGTCTCATTACCTATTGCTGCCTAAAATACTTTAATATCAGTGGGTCCTCTATTTATGCAATATAATTTATTGTCTGCAATTACTGTCATAGAATGATTAGACTTAAGATCTGGAAGATCCCTTAGGAATAACCTGATCTAATACCCTAATTCTGAAAATGAAGAAACCAAAGTCTAGGGTCATATTTAACAGATTTACACAATTGTGATTTCCAAATTGGTGTTCACTATCAACAATCCTTGAAGAGTAGTCTATAAACTAAACAATTACAATAACATATGATGTTCATACACTAATCATGACTATTCTTTTGCTTGTCATATAATTACATTTTTTCTTAAGATAATTAAGACAGTCTCACTGATGCTTATTTCAGTTCAACCAGAGCTTATTTTAAACAGTGACAAGTAGAAATCAGTAAGGCAGGAGCCTCTTCTTGACCAACTGGTTTCCAGGCAAAAGAATGTTAGACTCAGTAATGTAATACAGGCAGAAACCCAAGGAAACCCTCAGAACTATCTGTAATAGAGTCCACCACTTCAATAAAATAAATGTAAGACTTACAATTAATTTCAGTGAATTGAAAATCTACTATTTGCCAGGTAGTACCAAACATGTTCATAGTCAGGATCTCATTAAAATCTCAGAACTACAAAGATAAAGAAACCAAAGCATTTAGAATTTAAATAGCATAGGATAGCAATATGTTTTCCTATGATAAATACACAAAAGTTTTCTAATATATTTGCCAGCACTTATTTAATTTAGCTGCTTGACAAGTTGGCACATTTGTATCCTACTAAGGCTTGATGACTTCATTTTCAGGAAGCAAAAATACAAATACTCTCTTGGACAGATAAAAAGTCTAAAATTTTGTTTTCTAAGTAGTCATGAGTCCCGTATGGATGTTCACCCTCCTTCTCCCCTTTTGGAGAAAAACAATGCCACTGCCAAATTAGATGACTTTCTTCCTGGAAGCACATTTAGTTTATTATAATAGTCTCAAATAGTTTAAATAACACCTTCTATGTTAAACAAAATCATTTTTCAGCAAAGGAAAATACAGTCTTTTATCAATATATTCTATAAACTGTTCTCAAGTTCAATTTGGCTCTAGGTTCCATCGTTTCTTTATAAAGGGAGAGGCAATTCACCATACAACCTTTCTTATTTTAACTAAATTCCTCACAGCAATGATCTAAATTCATAATTGGGACTGACTCAGAACTTTCTCCAAATCCCAAGGCCAAGTCAACACTAGGAGGCTCAATCAATTGACAATGCCAGAAAATCAGTCCAGATTATAAGTGATAATCAACAGGTAAACTGTTCCTTTACTGAGATTTCCCACTCATTGAATATTAGTAGATATATCACCCTATATTTGAAAGCAATTTGAAGGCCTATGGGGTCATAAGGAAGACTGTCTCTACTTCCTAGACTTAGAAGAAAGACAAGAAGAAACATCATTGAAGGTATATTTCAAGAAGCCTCAATAAATTCGATTTCTATGAAATAATCTCTCAAAAGAGTTTTATGTCTGCTTTAAATGCTTACTCCATGTTCATAAAAATAATTCCTGTGATTTGTTTACATTGTCTTCATAATTAAACTTGGTGTCTTTATGAATAAAATGGAAAATGGAACCCCAATTTATATCATTGAGCTATAGTAAAAAAGGGTTACCTTCTGATAGTTGACCAGAAATAAATTAAAGCTGAGGTTGCCAATTAGTAAAATACTTGTACTTGGAAATACAGTTTCCGCAAGCTCAAGCTCTTGGTTTCGTCATATAAAGAACTATGGCCTCTTTTACATTGACCTGTGGATGACTTTGATTCCTTGTCTTGAATAAGTACACAAGATGACTAAAGATGCAAGATTGAAGTAGTTTTCAGATTCCATAGGGGAAGCTATTAAAAAACAAACAAACAAACAAATCGGAAAGCAAAAGCAGGACCTAAAAACCACCACCAAAGCATAGTGTGAGAGTTTTTCTGGAAAAGGCCCGAACCAGATAAGAGAAGAGAGAAGTGAAGTAGCTTACAAAAAGTCATGTGATCACCAACAGCTTAAGAATATACACCAAAATACAGAAAACAAAAGTTTCAAAAGGAAAGCATACAGTCACTCAAAATAACACACAATGTCAACTCAGTAGCAGGGGAACCCTGTAAGCTGACCAGGCCAAAGCCAGAAGTTAAGTTATATCCCATAGAGAACAAGACATATCTTGCCCATTAAACATAGAAACAAAGAAAATACTCAAACACTTACACTGGTCTTCTTGTCAGCTTCATTTCCAAAACACTGATTGTCTTTATTCTGTTCAATCCATGAAGCATTTTCCTTTGGTCTACTGCAACCTGTAAGCTAAAAAAAAAAAAAAAAAAAAA